TGAACAGAGTGATAAAGATCAAAATACAGGGACGTGATTCATGACAGATCCCCCCCCTCAAGGAACGCCTCCTGGCGTTCCACCTGGCTGACCTGGATGGAGAGCGTGGAAATCGGCGATGAGGGTCCTGTCGAGGATGTGACGGGAGGGGACCCAGGAACGTTCCTCAGGACCGTACCCCTCCCAGTCGACAAGGTATTGAACCCCCCGTCCCCTCCGCCTAGAGCGAAGGAGACGGCGAACAGTATAGACAGGGCCACCCTCAATGAAGCGGGCGGGTGGAGGGGCGTGAGCAGGGGCATGAAAAGAGGAGGCGACCACCGGTTTGATGCAGGAAACGTGGAAGGTGGGATGGACACGGAGGGACCTGGGAAGCGTCAAGCGAACAGACACAGGGTTGATGATTTTGGAAATGGGAAAGGGACCAATGAAGCGAGGGGCCAGTTTACGGGACTGGAGCTTAAGCGGGAGATTCTTGGTGGACAACCACACCTTTTGGCCTATGGAGTAAACGGGTTGGGGAGTCCTATGGCGGTCGGCCTGCTTACGATAGGCCGCCCTACTCTTCAACAAGGCGCGTCTGGCCTTCCTCCAAACCCTCTGGCAGCGTAGGGCGGCCAGATGAGCGGAGGGGACAGAAGCCTCCCTCTCCTGGAGAGAGACGACAGGGGGTTGATAACCAAAGACAACATAAAAAGGGGACAAACCGGTGGCCGAGGAAGGAGTGGAGTTAAGGGCATGTTCCACCCAAGGCAGGGAGGAGCTCCACTTCTCGGGGTCCTGTTGACACAGAATCCTCAGCTTGCCCTCGACCTCCTGATTAGCCCTCTCCGTCTGGCCATCGGTCTCAGGGTGAAACCCAGAGGAGAGGCTAATGTCAATACCCAGGAGGGAGCAAAACTCCCTCCAAAAGAGAGAGACAAACTGAGGACCCCTGTCGGAAACAATGTTAGTGGGCAGGCCGTGGAGTCTAAAAACCTCCCTGGCCATGATCAGAGCGAGTTCCTTGGATGATGGTAGTTTGGGGAGAGGAATCAAATGGACCATTTTAGAAAAACGGTCCACTATAGTGAGGATGACTGAGTGAGAATTGGATGGTGGGAGACCGGTAATGAAATCCATTCCTATGTGCGACCAGGGACGAGATGGACAGGGAAGAGGGCGTAAAAGCCCTGAAGGAGGGCGCTTGGAAGGTTTGGATTGGGAACAGGAGGGGCAAGATCGCACATAGGATTGGACATCCTGAAATAAGGTCTCCCACCAAAACTGGGACCTAACCAGGGACAATGTTTTACTCAAACCAGGATGACAGAATAGACGAGAGCTATGGGAGAAATCCAAAACTTGTTTAACCATGTAGGGAGGGACAAATAAACGATTGGGTGGGCATCTAGGTGGAGGAGGATCGGTCTGGTTGGAGGCCTTCAGATCCAACTCAAGCTGAGTAACGGCCAGGCGGGCAGTCTCAGGGAGGATAAACTGATCCTCCTGAGAGGAAGGGACTTCATCCTTCTCCAGGATGCGAGACAAGGCATCAGGCTTGGAATTCTTTTCACCGGGGCGAAAAGACAAAGTGAAGTTAAAACGTGAAAAGAACAATGCCCACCTGGCCTGACGGGGGTTGAGGCGACGAGCGGATTTGAGGTACTCCAGGTTCTTATGGTCAGTCCAAACCAAAAAAGGGAACCTGGAGCCCTCCAACCAGTGTCTCCACTCCTCAAGGGCGAGTTTGACGGCCAGCAGCTCCCGATCCCCAATGTCATAGTTTCTTTCCGCCTCGGAGAGACCCTTGGAAAAGAAAGCACAAGGATGCAGGCGTCCCTCCAGGCTGCGCTGACTGAGAATGGCCCCCACCCCAGTACTGGAGGCATCAACTTCGACGACAAAGGGCTCGTCGGGGTTGGGGGCCCGGAGGATAGGAGCTGAAGAAAACAGTTTTTTGAGATCACAAAAGGCTTTGGCTGCTGCGGTGGACCAAACAAAACGTGACTTAGATGAGGTAAGTTCGTGAAGGGGCTTAGCGAGTTGGCTGTAACCTTTTATAAAGCGTCTATAAAAATTAGCAAACCCCAGAAAGCGTTGCAGTTGCTTCCGGTCCTTGGGAGTGGGCCAGTCCACCACAGCAGCCACCTTGCAAGAGTCCATGGATACAGAGTCTGGGGAGACAACAAAGCCCAGGAAAGTAGTGGAGGTGGTGTGAAACTCACATTTCTCGGCTTTTACATATAGACCATTTTGCAGAAGTCGGGTTAAAACAGATCTAACATGTTTCTTATGAGCGTTAATGTCTTTGGAAAAAATCAAAATGTCATCAAGATAAACAAAAACAAACTTGTTAACCATATCCCTAAGCACATCATTTACTAGACATTGAAAAACTGCAGGAGCGTTGGTGAGCCCGAATGGGATAACCAAATATTCATAATGTCCAGTGGGTGTGTTGAATGCAGTCTTCCACTCGTCCCCCTCTCTGATGCGAACCAGATGGTAGGCATTACGGAGGTCGAGCTTAGTGAAGACCTTGGATCCCTGCAGAAGGTCAAATGCAGTGTTCATCAAGGGTAACGGGTACTTGTTTTTAACAGTGATTTTGTTCAGACCTCTAAAGTCAATGCAGGGACGGAGGGTCTGATCCTTTTTTTTAACGAAAAAGAAACCGGCCCCTGCGGGAGAGACCGAAGGTCTGATGATCCCCGCTTGCAGGGACTCCTGAATATAAGACTTCATGGCCTCTTGTTCTGGTGAGGATAAAGAATAAAGGCCCCCTCTGGGTGGTGTGGTACCGGGCATTAAGTCAATAGGACAGTCATAGGGTCTGTGCGGGGGTAACGATGTGGCCTTAACTTTATTAAATACCTCCTTGAGGTCATGATAGTCAGTGGGAACCTTAGCCAAGTCCGGATAATAACTGGGCGACTGAATGACAGAGTCTGAAGGAACCACAGCTTCATAAAGGCAGGTAGAGAGACATTCCTCTGACCATCCCAAAATCTCCCTCCGCCTCCAATCTAAGTGAGGGTTATGTTTAGATAGCCAGGTAGCACCCAAGACTACGGGGTTCTCAGGAGAGTTTATTATGAGAAAACTGATGAGTTCCTTATGATTACCACCTAAACATAACGTGACGGGCTCTGAGACCTGGGAGGAGGAGTTGAGAGGGTGACCATCAAGAGCGACAACGGAGTGGTTCTTAGATGACTGCAGGATTTTAATTCCAGCAGTAACAGCGAACCCATAGTCCAAAAACTCCGTATCGGCTCCAGAGTCAACAAAAACCTTGACAGATGAACAGACCTTACCCGGAACGCAGATCTCGGCGGGGATGACAAATGGTGAGGAGATGGAGGAAGTGGATGCGCGACTCAATAAACATCTCCTCTCGTTTATTGAGCCCCGCCTTTTACCGGACATGAGTAGACGGCGTGTCCAGCATTGCCGCAATAGAAGCACAGTCGATTCCTTCGACGATGATCCCGCTCCGCCGGTGTGAGTTTACTTCGGCCCAGCTGCATTGGCTCCTCAGCCGGACCAGGTAACTGCTGCCGAGGCTCCACTGTCGGACGAGGTGAAGAAGCAGGAGGTAAGTCCCATGTCTTCTTGTGAGCGCCGTACTCACCGCGCTGCCTGACGGAAGATGACGTAGCAGTCCTCCTCTCCCGGGAGCGTTCTGCCAGTCGGAGATCGAGTCTTGTAGCCAGGTCCTCCAAACCTTGTAATGTCTCTGGAAGTCTCTGGGTTGCCAGACCGTCCTTAATGGCGTCGTCCAAACCTCGATAAAAGGCATCGGTTAATGCCTCGTCATTCCAGTGGCTGCCGGACGATACAGAATGAAAGTCAATGATATAGTCTGTGACGCGACGGTTACCTTGCTTAATGTCGAATAGTCGTCTGGCAGCCTCTCGTTCCGGAAGAACTGGGTCAAAAACTCGGCATAACTCCTTCTTGAAGCTTTGGAGAGAGTAAACAAACTGTGAGTCTCTTTGCCACTCTGAAGTCCCCCATATTTTGGCCTTGCCTGTTAGCAGCGAGATCATATATGCGACTTTGGAGCGGTCGCAGGTAAACATGGAGGGTTGAAGTTGGAAGTGGATCTCGCATTGTGTGATAAATGGACGGCATTGGTCAGGTGCTCCAGAAAATGCCTCAGGTGGCGAGAGTCTAGGTTCCCGGGTAGGAACCGGACAGGTTTGAACTGGTTCGGGAGAAGAGGATGACTTGAGTAAACGAACTATCTCCTCCATATTAGTTTCTAATTTACCAATAGCTCCCCCGACACCAGAACCCGAACCAGAACCCAGACCGGCACCAGGACCGGCTGTCACTTCCTCCCTTAAAACAATAAACACATTATTATTTATCGTCTTTCTGTTGTGTTGTGATCTTGGTCCAAACCCTCACGAGAGTTCCTTACATAAGCACATTATTATGGCCTGGCCCTAATATGAATCAGGTGGGGCCAGGCTCCAGGTTAGGGTTAGAAATGACAGCTGTACAATCATCCAACACGTGGAGGAAGACAAAAATTATTTTAAGGTGAAACAATTCGGTTAGTTGTATCATTATCCAGCCTCTCATTAATCACTTTAAATTTTTGATTATACTAATAGTTGTTTTTTCTATTAAACAAGTATTCAGAGAATACTCGGAAAATGACAGCAACTAGACTTCTGTCTTTTATTTAAAATAAATTGTGATTTGAATGTGTATTTAATGCTTTTAGGTGTGAATTTAGACAAAGATCTAAACGTGACAGAGTTAATTATCAAAAACTGCTCATTAAATTCTAACATGATGCAGACTTATTGCCTCAATAATTCACAGTTGACGCTTTTTTTTCTCTACATTATCTGAAAAATATTCTCATAAATACATCAATTTACTATTTTTTAAGTATGCTTTATGAAACCAGAGAATTTCACAGAGAACATCTATGACCTAGAAAACCAGCTGAATGAACATCATTCATTTTACTTTTTTATTTTTTTGCAGCAGAATAAAATAAAGTCTTAAATGAGTAGATATATAAAATGATATAATAAAATAACATGACATAAAACAATACATTATTCGTGACTGTTACATTTGGGAATTTGTTTAGAACTCAGTGTTCTATAGATCCCTTCGTGAAGGATCCGTAATTACATTTCCATTCAGGCAAACTTACATAATCCAGCAGTAAGATACATTAAACAATAGTATAGGCACGGTGCTTATATTCCCAGAAACTCCTCGGGAATCTGGGCTCCAACAGGCAAGACGCTGAAAACAAATAGGACACCGTATCTAAAGACTCCAGACTGAAAGGGAAACCAGCTGTGACGCTGGAAGAAAAGGTGAAGCTAAAGAAACAGAAGATGAAGTCGTGCTCTCATATTCCCACTATCTTTATTTTATTTGCAGGGTGTTGAGGGGACGGGCTTGGCGTTCATCGCATTCACCGAAGTCATGGCTGTCTTCCCAGCCAGCCCCTTCTGGTCCACGCTGTTTTTCCTGATGCTGCTCAACCTGGGCCTGAGCACCATGTTCGGAACCATGCAGGGAATCCTCACGCCGCTCATGGACAGCTTTAGCCTTTTGGGGCGCCATCGGACCCTACTCACCGGTACTGCTCACAGCCACTGACCGACTACAGACAGCATCAGAATTATTTCTTTGTCTGTTTTGACCAGTTGTTGTGTTTTAACCTGTTTTTCAGTGTTCAGCTGTGCGTTGGGGTTTGTGATTGGGTTATTGTTCACCCAGCGTTCTGGCAACTACTTTGTAACCATGTTCGACGACTACTCTGCAACCCTACCGTTAGTCATTGTTGTCATCTTTGAAACCATCAGTGTGGCCTGGGTTTATGGCACAGATCGGTAAGTGTCAAAAAACTCCTCAAACGAAATCTCCCATACTTTAGTTTGACTTGTTCTCTGGGTCCTACCTCTTATTTCATATCTCCCATCTCTGCAGATTTTTGGATGATATTGAAGTCATGCTCAAGTGGCGCCCTCCAGTGTTGTACAAATACCTGTGGAAATATGTGTGCCTGCTGGCAATGGTGGGTCTTCTGACTGCCAGTTTGTTACGAATGGTTTTCAAAGCGCCCACGTACACCGCCTGGAATCAGACCTCAGTAAGACCACGTTATGTCACCAAACATTCAAGAAAGACAACATAGCCAGTTTTATTTCACGTCAATGTAAATATAACACGTGTTTGACAGGTTACAATGAAATCAAGTGTGAAAAGACTCCTGCTGCACACGTTTTGTTCTCTTCATCTTCTCAGGCTTCTGAGATGACTCTCGAGTACCCAGGCTGGGCCCTGGCTATGATCGTCCTGCTCGTCGTCTTCGCCAGCCTACCGGTGCCTGTTGGCTACATCCATTGCACGTTGAAAAACCACCGGGCGCCCAGCGCTCCCTCCCTGGAGGGGCCCGGCCAGGAGGTGCACCGAGAGCTGTACACCAAGTGCAGCTCCACCGATCAGCTGGACTCCAGTTCTTATGCAGTCCCGTCTGACGGGGACGGGGCTCGGTCCCGGACTGTTTTCCTGCCGGTGGGCAACGAACAGTACCAGCTCCTGTCCCAACAGGAGGAGGAGGAGGAGGAGGAGGAGGAAGATACAAGTGTCTGAGAGGGCTAAATTGTGGACCTAAAAGACAGAAGGATTAGGAAACATGTCAGTGTTAAATTCAGTGAAACCAAACGTTGATAAGCCAGACTTATTTTATTTATATAAATGGCGCATCAACAGTTGACTCCTTTATTTTCTGACGCACTTCGATTCTGTTCAGACAAAAAATACTCTCAAGCAAATGAAAATGAGCTGCTGCGTTCAGAGTGTCGCCGTGTTTGGCTTCACGTTGGAGCCAAAACTAAATGGTTTATTGTTAAGAAATAATGTTTTTTCTAGGCAATCATATTTTAACTAGCGTGAAAAACATTCTACCTTGAGAAACTGTGATGTGTGTGTGTGTGTGTGTGTGTGTGTGTGTGTGTGTGTGTGTGTGTGTGTGTGTGTGTGTGTGTGTGTGTGTAGT